CTCACTTCTTCCTTCCCAGACAGAGGTGAGTGAATACTCAAACAGCAGCAGAGTAGGGTTTAACTCTGTCTGTGACCTTGCTGTAGATAGGTGTTTTAAGTGTTCCAACTACCAGGATTAAGACTGCCAGTTAGAAATCTTGGAAACTACTGTAGTTGCTTTAGTATTAGATCTTTAGGGTCCCAATCAAACAAAGAAAAATGCAATCTAGCCTTTCCTATTTAATCTTTAATTCTAAGATCCTTGAGAAGTCCCTGTGGGATGTTAGAACTAAATATTGCCAGGAATTTGGATGCTGCCTCTATTTCTGCAATGTTTTCTTCCAGGTCAAGGATAGAAACCTCTTTTCATATAGTCTTCCAAAGGAATACTTACCTGAAGGTAAAATTCAGCATCCACAATCATGTCCAGACATGTCCCTGTTCTATACAGCACACGCATGCACAAGACAAGAGTATGATAGTATGCTGCACAATGATCAAATGCTTTACCATACAGTGTGATCACAAGTGTGTGGGCTTCAGAGTCATCCTAACCTTGAATCAAATATCAGCACTGCCTGATTATGGCCAAGGTCACAGGGGCTCATGTGTTTTATTGTGCCTTCCCCACCTTTACTATTTAAGAAACTTCTGAAGGAGACACCTAGAAGCCAGACCAAAGGAAATAAGTGTCAGCCTCATTACTGATTGAGTTGAATGTGAGATGTATCTCCAGACTGTCAACCAAGTGATGTCATCCTTTGTCACTCTCTAAGAAAGATCACCGCGGACACCTGGAACACAGGCCGTGCTTTGAAGAAGCCTGCTCATGTTAAAACTAGTGTATGGGGGCCGGGGATTTAGCTCAGCAGTTCGGTGGCCTGCCTTGCAAGCGCAAGGACCCTAGTTCAATCCCCGGTACCAAAAACAAAAACAACAACAACCACAAAAACACTAGTGTATGGGTTGGCAGAGGAACTTCCTGGGGACAGTATGGATTAAAAAACAAAACAAAACAAAACAAAAACAAAACTAAAAGCAGAGAGAAAGGTCAAGGAAAGGTCTTGTGCTTTCTCATGTCAAATTCACCAGCGAAGAGAGTGAGTGAAACTTGAAGTGAAAGGCCGGGAATATAATATAAGAAAAGCTGAAGAGGAGTACAGACTATGCCCTAATAAGTGTCTTCACATCACTGTGTCTTAGAGCAAGTTACTTACATTTACGAGCCTCACAATGCCGTGTCTGTAAAGTGGAAATAATACCAACTGAACAGAGTATCATTGTGTTAACTGCTACTTTAAGGCCTGCCACTAAAAATGCTGACTGTGTTCACCAACTTCTTACTGCAACAAAATGACAAAATGATTAGGAAGCTTAAAAGGAGGAAAACTTTATGATGGCTCATGATTCGTGAGGTTTTAGTCATTGTTGCTTTGGGCCTTTGGCAGCACAGTGCAGCGTGGTAGGAGTATGTGCAGAGGAAATCTGTTCATTTTACAGTGGCTAAGAAGCAGACAGAGAAGAGGAGGAGTTAGCAACCATGATCCCTGTCAAGGGAAGCCCTCAATGGCCTAACTTCCTCCCACTAGGCCCCACCTCTTAAAGAGTCCATCGTCTCCCAGGAGTATGACAATAACCAAGCGGAAGACAAAACTCTTAATAAATGGGCCTTTGGGGGACATTCAAAATCCACAATATAGCCATGGAATATTTTATCATCTTTTCCTTACTCTCCTTTTCCTGTTGCATACTAGGTCAGTGTCAATCAAAGATATTTCTAGAGAGAAGACAGTACATCTCTCTCATTCCTAAGATTAGGGATGTTTAAAAAAGAATAAGAATTATTTTTTAAAACGTATGCTTTGTACAGTTTAGTACTGAGATTTCCAAGTTCACTTATCTTTTGAAAGGATCAACTTCCAAAATCAAAGTTATCCCTTTGCAGGCAAATGGGCCAATCTTTGTATTCCTTTATACTTGCACATGCTACCCAAGGGAGAAACATGGCTTTGTTTTATGTTGCATTTTCACAATGGAATGGCTCCCAGTTTCAAGGTCAGGAAGAGCTTCTCCTAATTACTGTCTCAGTATTTTGTGGGTAGAGTAGAGACCCTGTGGTTCCCAAGAGTATGGAATGCTTGTTCTTATTGCCTTCCTTTTATTCTGTGTGGTCAGAAGTTAAACCTTTTGCATCTAGAAACATCATGGAATAGTCTGATCTTGAAGAAGAGGGAGAACCATGCAAAACGGGGTATGGTGTGGTGTGCACAGGCTAGGGAGTTGAGCAGCCTCCATGCTGATGTTGCCTTCATGCCCAGACTCCTTAAGGACTCCCATTTAAGCCAAGAAGGTGTTTTGGGGCCTAATGTTCTCAGCTGGCTATCATGCACATTCAGAATTCATTGCATACTACGAAGGTTTTGAGATGTTTTAATGAATTTCTCCTTTGCATATGCCTAATGCTGTTTTGATTATTGTCCTGAGGGATCTCTTCCTCTCACCCCTCATTGTTTAAGTAGCAACCCCATTCTGCTGATTCTACCTCAAAAATAGAAACTATGAGGCCGGGCGCGGTGGCGCATGCCTGTAACCCCAGCACTTGGGAGGCTGAGACAGGAGGATCACTGTGAGTTCGAGACCAGCCTGGGCTACATAGTGAGTTCTAGGTCAGTCTCAGCTACATAGTGAGACCCTATCTCAAAAAACAAAACAAAACAAAACAAAAAACCCCCAAAACAAACAAACAAAAAAGAAACTATGGTCTTGGTCTTCAATCTGATTGTCATTGCAAAACTCACTTTTGGTGAGACAGTCTCCAATCCCTCATCTTTCTGATCTGCCTGGGATGGTGTTTTCAGTTCTATGGCTAACACAAGTCATATCAAGCCTCACTTCTGATCTAGAGCTTCTAGCAGCTTACCATGTTCATGCGCAACATTCAGAATGGCTTATCCTGCATCTGAGAGTTCACAACACCAAATAACCTTTGCCCTCGCGTCCTCCTTTGTGAATCCTGATCACTGGGCCCTGCATTGTCCTTTGACCCACTGTGCACGTTTGTATCTGAGTATCCATCCATGGCACTTTTCATCAAAATCCCAGTATGGATTTGTTGTTGTTGTGACATGTAATAATCATACATATTTACAGGGAACAGTGTGATGTTTTGATGGTTGTATGCATTTTGTAATAATCAAATCAAACTGGCATTCCTCTCCCCTCACACACTTATCATTTCTTTGTGGCAATAACATTCAGAATCCTCTTTGAGCAATTTTGAGACATTTAATACAATATTATAAGCCATAATTTCTTTGCTATGCAGTAAAAAGCCTCTCACTTAACTGTAACTCTGTGCCTGTTTAACATTCTCCGCATATCATCCCCTCACCAGCCTTTGGTAACCACTGTTCTATACTCTACTTCTATGACACCAGCTTCTCTAGACTCCACATATAGGTGGACCACTGAGTAAGGCTGTCTGTGCTTGACTTCTTTCACGTGTGATGTCCTGCAGGTCCATCTGTCTTACGGCCAATGACAAGATTTTATCTTTCCAGTGACTCAATAGTCCATTTATCCATTTATTCATTTATCCCTTGGTGGACACTTAGAATGATTCCAAATTGTGCCTTTTAATAAGACCCTACTCAAACCCCACCCATATGTTTCCTTCTGCACACTTGTCTCAGTGTAACTTAGTTTCAGTTAAATGTAGGCCAGTTACTTACTGTGAATTCCTACCAGATTGGGATTGTTAGTTTCTGAAGCATGTTTATATTGTCTCAAAAATCCTGTTTTTGAAGGGATCCTCAATAAACCTCTGGTTTTAATCATATTAGACTTCTGTCTTTCAAATCTTTTCAAGACACTTTCAATTTCTTTCCCTGTCCATATAGACTTTAATTATGTGTATTTTCAAAGAAAAAAATCGCTAGACTCTTTGGAGTTTATTGTCAATTATAAACCCGAATTAAACAGTAATTAGCCAGAATTTTCTTTCATAGTCTTAAATCTTTCCATATTTCTGAGGATTTAAAGTATTTGTAAATCACATTAAGATGAGTTAAACTTAGGAATACCAGTTTTGAATGGACTTTTTGGAATAATAGATGAATGTTTCTTGCTTCTGACAGCCAGTGAGCAAAGAAATTCATTAAAAATTTTCCTCTATTTTAAAAATTATGAACATGGAAATTATGAATATGGAAAATGGAAGTTTTAGAATGCTTCTGTATGGCTGAGCAATTGTAGGAAAAGACAACAAAAGTATCTGAAGGCCAGAAGTTTTATAAGCCATGAACATATTTAAGATTGGTATAGTCTAATCCTCATCACCAATATTTTAAACAACCAATAGACTGGAGTATTTTCAGTTCATTCATAATTCAATGAATTATTCATGAAGGCCCCACAGCGTGCATTGTACACCATTTTGAAATTATTATCTGTGAACCTCTACCAGAAAATGAAGAAGAGTCAGGATGGCCATAAAGAAATAGTTGGTAAATGCATACACTATGCAAAAACTTTGCCCTGTGGACCTCAGTAAAATGTACCTTTAACATACCTGTGGACTCTTAGCGATGTCAGAAATTCAGAATTTAACACAGTGCAAGTAAGTAAAACAAGAGGAGTTAAGATTTCTTTTATAAGAGAAAGGATAAACATCCATTCTTAAAAGCATCAGTAAGTTTTTTTTTATTTTTAAATCAACACTGTCATTGTCACAGTCTGCTTGATCTTCCTACTTTGGGTTAATATGGGAGCCAATTACAGCTTCATCTGTGTAGAATTAACTTTATGGGGCACACACGGGATTTGTCTATCTTCACTATTTAGATATATGCTATAAAAATATACATGGAATGGAGTGCAAGTACTGCAGATGGCAGAGACTTTCAGATTTATTGCAAAATCATTTAAGATCGGTTATGTTCTTGCCAGAAGTTAATTAATTTTTTTCTGTTCTTTTCCGGGGCTGGGGTGGGGGTTCTGGGGGGGTGTGGTTCTCACTAGGTGGCAGTGTATGATTACATCAGGAGAAGCCACAGCATCAAGTCCAGTGTCTCCAGCTGTGACCTTCCACATCAAAATGAAATTTCTGTGTCTGCACTTGGTGCAGGAGATATTACTTCTCATGTGTCTGTATACACCGTTTATCCCAGCGGGTTCCAAGAGCTGTTCCGCCATTTTCTCAGACTCCCCAGTGGCGCCATTGTTGAGGTATGTATATAAGAAAATATTTTGATGCAAATGCTGTATGTATTGTAGTGCATGGATGTGCATATTTATGTATACATATATGCATGTGTGTGTTTATGCATGATTTCAAAGGTTTCAGTATCACTTCCCAAATATATTATAACCAATGTTTCTAATACCACAGTGGGCTTGAAAATGTATTTTAGCTTTTGCCTAAACATGCAAAAGTACAAAAGGAAAAAAAAATTTCTGTTCATAGCTATGTGGGAGGCAGGCAATAAAACAAATTAAGCAAAATAATTCAGGATTCTGCCTGCAAGAACTTTTACACAGGTAACAGCAGGTTGATGATGGGTCTGTAGACACTTCCACAAGTCAGAAACTCTTTCATTTTCATTCACAAAATGAATGAAGTGGTGGCATTTCATTTTCTCCATGAAGAAAATCTTTAAAAATATAGAAAAGTATACAATCTCTAAATCTTTGAAAATATTTTGAGACTGGTATTTGGCCGAGATCTTACAGTCTTGTTTTCTCCTAAACATATCAGTCTTTAGGTGGGCTGATAAAAGTTTTAAAAAGTCATGTTATATCATATTGTTAGAATCTATGTTCACAGCATATTGAAATATGACGCTTTACTGCATTAGCATAGGTGTTGAATTATGAAATCGAAAGAAGTGTGATTGTTTGGTGGAAATGAAAAGCAGAGGAAGGGGAAACTGTATAGATATATGTTATGTAAATTTAATAGTAGGATACACAGTACTAGTTGTGAGAATTTGGAGACTATGTCTGTGTACTTTCACCATTATTGTTTTTGTTGTGAAGTTGATGACAACCTTTCCTTATAAGAATTCCTTTCAATATAACCTTAAAGAAATGTTAAACTGTGAAGGCCCCTGTCTTGCAGATAGGCTGTTCCTCCTTTCTGCTCTACCAGCTCACAAAATTATGGACCTCTTGAGAGGTCACACAGGCACCTCACTGAGAGAGGCACAGAGGAGCCAGGGAAGACTCCTCATCTGCGCCCCACTGCCTCCCTCACCCTGGTGTTCTCTAAGAGGAAACTTCATATACTATGGCAAAGCAGCAGATACCACGAGATGATTGTATCTAGTGAAATTTTGTGGGAGTTTGGGTCATGGGCACTTTTCTGCCTATGAGCTCTTCGAGTCTTTTGTGAAATATTTCCTTTAGCAACTTTTATGCAGAACAAACTGCTGGAATTTAATGCTTGCTTTTTTAAATATTAGCATAAGCACATGTTTGAAAATGCGTGCATACAGTGTACTAAAATAGTAAGAAAAGTGGAGATGTGAGGATCCTCTTCTTGCTGCAAAACCTTGCATAGCTCTTAGATCCCTGGAGCCTCAGCAGAAAGTACGGGTAGAACTCAGCGGAGTCTCATGAGCCCAGCGAGCACTGTGGTCCATCATTGTACTCATTCCTCATTGGCTCTGTAACCTTGGCGGAGTCATTTCTCACAATTCTGCCTATTTCCTTGTTTGAAACTGGGTTATGAACACTTCCACTACCTGGCTCACAGGGATTTGGGGCATATTAATGAGATAACGTTGCCAAAGTACTTTTAGCTTTTTTTAAATGTACAGTAAAGATGACAAATATAGATCATGCACAATTAAATTCATTCAACTTGTAAACATCTCATCGAGTACCAATCATAGCATTGTGCTGAACAAAAAAGCAAAACCAAAAATAAACCAAAAATAGAACTAAACTCCCTTCTGAAGACCCGAGTGGTGAGGAAATAGATACCACTGACCATCTCACTCTTACTGCCACCATTTTCAATATGATTGTCCTACTATGATGGTAAATGGCAGGTGTGTCCTGGGGCATTGAAAAGACTTTTCCAAACCAATATTTCAGCAAATTATAGACTGACTCTTCCTTTTTTTCCAAGTTTCAGCAAATGCACAGGGTCTTGCCCACTCTTGGGTCTATAGTTCAAATCTATTCATTCATTTCTTCCTGCTTTACTTTTTCTGTTGCTTTTTTCTATGAAATCTTCAGAATCCTTTGTAAACTAAAGTACCCCCCTTTAACTGTCTCTAACACTTATCACTTTTGTTATTTCAGTTTGTGACTCCTGGAGGATAGGACCCATAAAATATTGCTGTTCCCAGAGCAAATGAAAGGATAAGGCAAATTGACTTTCAGGCACTTACCTGACTATTCAGTAGAGTTCCCACTTTCCTGATCCCTAACAGGAATTGCCAGGGCTATAAATGGCCATCTAAGGTACAGAACATGAAAAAGAGTCTAGAGACTGGTGCTTTGGAACCTCAACTAGAAACAAAATCCAGTATATTATCTTTTCTAGGATATAAGCATTGCAAATACATTTCAAATAGCCCCTTAACTTTTAAAATAATGATTCATACACACTCATCTACTTGCCTTAAATTTAAGTTCAACCTTTGGATTTCCTTTGTATCAAGAACAGAATTGGTGGTCAAGTGTATCAAATTGAAATTAAAATGTTGTATCAAACTGAAATTTTGGATTCCCTAAATATGCTACATGATTAGTAGTTTGGCACCCCGAGATCCTCACCCTCAATGCCCATTTTATTTTACTTAAGGAAATCTGAATTTAGAATGTGATTTAAATAAACCCTATTGGTGATACTGGTGAGCTCTATACCAATTTAGTCAGATATTCTGATACTGGGATAAATAGGCATCAGAGTCTGCGCCTAATTTATTTACAAATTAGATCTTACAAGAAATGTGAAACACAAATGTAATTGTGTTTCATCTCTGTAACCAGATGTCTATTCTCTAAGGTTTTATGGTGTTTTTTTCTTTTTCAGACAGGTTCCCTAGTTATCCAGATTTCTTTTGCATTTAGCACATCTTCACTTGTCACTCATGATTTCTAATCCTTTCCTAATTCGTATGTGAAATACAGGTCAGATATTAACCTTTCCCCTTTTTAATTCTCAATAAGACCTTAGCCTTTTGAGTCAGAAGCAAATTATCTTCAAATGTTTATTTGCGTGGAAAGCTATGCTTTTGAAAAGTGCCCATTTCTGCACAATAGAGTCGGGGTGTCTGAAATAGAAGCTACATGGCAAACGTTAGCTTCCACAGGCAGTGATTTGTGTTCAGGTGTGTGGCCTAGCACTACACTGCTGTCTCGGTGTTGTACTGCACATTATTTTCATTATTTTGCTTAAAAAAAAAACAACCCTCTTGTCTACTTGTCAGAGAGGGTCCTGAGTCCACAGTGCAAGAGTGTCTTTCCTGCATTCTACTTTTCTTTTTCTGCACCCCTGGGCTCCGCAGATGCCCAGTGCTCACAGAGTAACGCTTTGTCTCTTCTCTGAGAGGGTAGGGTTACCTTGAGGTGTTCTGTAAGAACAAAGTTACTGTAAAGTTTTTAGTGCTGCACAGCCTAGAAACCCAGGCAAGACTGGTGCAGATTCATCAAGTTACAAATAAGCTTCCGGATCCCAGGGTATCAGCCGCAATTAAGAAAGTCCTTGGAGCATTCCTTGGGCGGAATGGGAAAACGGTTTTTTTGTCATTAGAGGCAGTGTCGCCTGGTGGTCTGAGCGGGGAACTGGGAGCCAGGAACTCGAGATCTAAGGAGGTTGAGCGAAGCCCTCCTGCGCTGCGCGGCTTTAGGCGAGCAACTTGGTCTCTGGAGGCCAACCTCACCTACTTTGAATCTCCCATCTGAAGAACTCCTTACCCAGGGCCAGGGTATGCACAGCAGGAAGCCTGATTCCTTGTCTGCAAAATTAGAATATTAATACTTGCCTAAATAACAGATTAACCAATTAGTGCTGAAGTGTTCCGCTGATGGAAAGCAGCAGGAGAAGAAAGTAGAAAACGAAAACCCCAAACACAATTTTATTCTTGATGGGTTTTACTCAGCTCTGAAGTTGACTGCTGAGCAGGGAATCCAGGCCCCTTAGAGGGCAAAGGACGGTGCAGAGCAACTCAGCCTTTGCTCTTTCTCCCCTCCATGGGAAGGCAGCACATGAAGCTCACCGTTGTTGGGTCTGCAAAAGCTCTGGGGAAATGGGGAGGGGAGCCATACTTTGTTGTTGGATGAGTGAATTGCAGGGCAAAATCTTCTAGGAATAATTGAGGGTTTGCTGCTTTGTTCTTTTTCTAGAAAAGACTACTTAGTGCATTTGGAAATTCTCCTATTGTATGCAGATAACCAGTCTGCCCTATGCGTGTGCAGGTGCACGACAGAGAAGGGAGACAGCAGTGTAGGATGATTGGAAACAGAATCCATAGGAGAGTACAGAAACGCGAGGCCTGAGAGAGTATTTGTTCAATGGCTGATATCTCACATTTTCAGGGAAAAAAAATCACTCCATCCATTTTCCTTTTGTTGAAAGTCACTGTACCTGAGAAAGCGTAGTCACCCTGTGTGCATTCTCAAGGTGCATAGTTGTAGGCTGCTCTGAGCACAACACTAATATAATTACACAAAAAATACAAGAAAGTCACATTTTCACTGTGTGTACTTCGAATGCTTCACCTTCTGTGCACAGCACTTGTGCAGGAAGATGCCGTATGTCTGTCCTCGGAGCGTGCTTTGCTGTCACAATTAGATCCAAAATATACATTAAAAGGAAACAGCACTAGTAATGCTGATGATCTTGCATGAAATACTGCTAAAAATGTCAAGTACACTGCTGTGTTTTATTTCTGGCTTGAAAGTTTGATAGTTGACATGACTATTAATTTTTCAAAATAAGGTCCTGATACTATTTTGCCTATTTTTTCACAAAGTGTGGTTGTCTATTTTAACAAAATCATAAAGAATTACCATTCTGTTAAACGTCAAATGTAGGTCCTATTATAAGTAACAGTTTTTATGAGTACAAAAGCAAAATAGAAATCAATTATTAGACTAGTATTAGAATATAATGCTAATTGCAAGACATTTTCCTGACACAGTATAATGAAAAGTCTTAGGTAGATATTGTTCACAGTTATATCTAATATGAGCTGCATGAATCTGGCTTTCCT